ACGAAACAGTCGTGGCATTCAAAATTAAACACGAGTCAGCGGCGGAGTCGGCGAAGAGGTCAATCACTCCAAAACAAAAGTCAGCGCAGGTGCTACGGCAGGGCACAATGATCCTTGATCCTGGACTGTTGCTCGACTTTATAATTGCCAGAAATGCCCTGTCTGCCTGCCTGCCTGCTTGCTTGTTGCTTGCCCCTCAGCGTGGCAGCTGCCACAAAGCCGCAAAGCAAATACAAAGCCAGAAGACGGCAGACAAACGGCAGCTGCACCATTCAGAGCTCCCCCAGCCCAGCCAGCAATCGTCCCTCGCACCTGCCACGTGTTGCGCCCTGCCCCTTTGCTACTGCCACCGCGTCTGCGCCCTGCCTATTCCCTAGCTGTTGTTGCAGCCCCTCTGTAAGTGTTGCTGCCGTAGGAGCCAGATGTCAGCTGCCGCAGGTCCCTCCAAAAAGCAGGCAAATTACATGAATTCGTTGCACGGCGACGTCCTACCATCTTGCACTTAAACCTCATTTCATTTCATTTCATTTGTGTGTAGATCTTGCGCCTCGTTTTGTCCTCGATTTTTGCACAACAAACGAACATTTCGCGCACCTGCCGTCAACGCGGTGGTCGGGCAATCTTTCGATCGTCGGGCATCTGTCCCTTAGAGACCATCCTTAGCCCGCTGCTTAGACCTCCTTTAGGGTGCTCCTTCTGCCTGCCTGCCTGGCCTACCTGGCAGGATAAATGCATTTCGATGCGAGCTGCAATTATGTGCAAACACACTTAGTCTTTGCTGCAAGGGGCATGATCAGGCTCAACGAGAGGGGGACAAAAAGAGAGAGTAAGGATCAGAGGCTGCAGGAGAGAGATTTCAGCATTGTTTGTTGTATAATGAGCAGCGGGGATTAAGATACGAAAGACAGAGAGTAGCAGGACCCTCAGCAGAGCAGCGGGGCATGTGAGGATCGCTCGATTTGAATGGCCATTCGTTAGGGCAAAACGAGTGTTGACACATCGGGCGAAAGGGAGAGGAGAAGGAAGAGTAATCTGCGGGAAACTCATTCACACAGCACGCGTCCAGAGTTCCAGGGAAAAGCAGGGAACAATTATTTTTGGAAGACACTACAAGAAGGATTAGCAAATGCGCGAGTAAACGAAACTGAAAGACTGCTAAAAGTAACCTCTAAAAATTATGAGAGAAGATCTTTGGGAACTTTGATCTAGAAAATGTCTTTGGATGGCTTAATCTTTCATAGATCACCCCCAATATCACTTGGAATGCTAGTAGAATGATCCACACATGACTCTCTTCCAATAAGCATGCTCGTTTCACTCAAATCAATTGATATTCTCCGAAACACTCGCCTGTGCCGCTTTCCGCCGCCTCCACTCTAGGGTTAGATCACTCACAAGAGACCCCCCAAAAGAATGACAGACAAACAAGACTCCAACACTCCACCCAAAAATGGCAGTTCAATAAACCCATTCCGTATCCAAATCGGCATTCGATGCCAATCCCATAAATAGCTCTGGGGAAAAGTCCTCGGTCCTTCTGTTCTCTCTCAGTGTCTGCCTCTGTCGCTGTTGCCTCGCCCAAAATCGGATGCCAAAATTTATTGTGGCCAATATTTTAGCTGTAATTAAAAGGCGGCAAGCAACAAAAACAGAGAAAGGGAATTCCGAACTTGTTTTTTGGTTAACATTTTTGTTTACAAAACATTTCAAAGTTTTTTCTTTTTTCATTTTTTTTGCGCGAATTTTTTTCTTACAGAAATTGTTTTTGCCTCAACATTTATTTTCGATTCAATTCGTGGGATCGCGAGGTTGGAGAGGAGGGTGGAGACAGAGGTGTCGGCCGGTGTCTCTTTTGGGTGACGAGGACGGGGATTGTTGTTGTGACTCATTGAGGTCGTGTGTGCGAAATTTTTGGAATTGCTTTCATTTATTTATGCATTTGTTTTTGTATTTGAGCTGAATGCAAATTTGCTTACTTATTTATTGCACGGCAAGAAATTCCCAGAAGCCCGCACAACCTCATCGATACGAAGAAATTCGATTAAAAACACTTGGCAAAAGGCCCCGAACCCCAAAATGAGTGTGGAAGGGAATGTAAGCTCGGGAAGGGAAGCAGGTTTGGTTGCATTTGCAGTTGGCTAGTCGTAATGAAGAAGTAAATCCATTAGTTCAGGCCTGCTATCTGCTATCTATCTGCTAGAGATTCAAAAGCAGTTCTCTGGTCCACAAATCTGCTCAAAATCGTAATACACTCCCATTTAAGGTATCAAAAAAGGCGTAAAAATCACTGGAAATTGTTTTTTACATGCAACAATTGTCTCTGATTGCGTGTGTGTGTATGTTTATTGGTGCGATCTTCGAACTTTTCACGCCCCAAAAACAAAATTAAAACCAAAACAAAAACACAAAATGTAAACAACTGGTGTGAAAATCTCGAAGGTAGCGACCATGGAGATGCCCTTTAGAAGGGGAATAACATACATCAAATAAATGGGGAATTAAATGACAGAAGAATAGAGTTTAAATGCAATTCTAGTTTATTTTGCTACGAGCAGCAGTAAGCCTAAGCCTTACCTTGTGCTGCTGCTGCGGCCCAAACGCCCCCATCTGCTACCCTTTTTGTTATTTCAGAGTGTCATTTACAAGTCATTCCCATAAGAAGGAAGGAAGTGTGGAAGGAAGGAAGGAAGGGGGTATGGCATGGGTATCCAACGACCATTATATGGCAGTTTTTTCGACTATGAGAGTGTGAGAGTTGTTCATGTTTTCTGTTTTCTGTGGTGTGTTGTGTGCTTCATCGACGTTAATTACGTGTGTGCTTGTGGTGTGTGTGTGTGTGTGTGTTGTGTGGAAGAAACTATTGGGCAAACAACTTGATTAGACGACAAGTGTGAATTGTGATGAAAACTTTCATGGCAGTGTCCGGCACGCGGCAGCTCTCTGGGGCCTGGACTGTTGAGAGGAGCAGGCGTTGAGGGTAGAGAATTTCCATGAATTTCGCTCGGTGCGATCGGTCGGCGACAAAAGTGTTAATCACGGGTCGTAAACAACAAACAGCAATATCCGTTTGTTTATAGTTTCGTTAACTGATTTTGTTTCAATAGCAATTTCTCGTCCGGGAATACCCCCAGTCGAACGTCATTCCCTGCCCCATGCCCATTCCTCATGATAATCAGTTGAAGATCTAGATACATACACACACTACAAGTACTATTTATAGCTGCGAAACAAAAACATTGCTGACCTTTGTGTATAAATATTTTTAGGTTTTTTGCAGATAAAATAAGATTATGAAATCGAATCGATCATGAGATACAATCTGTTGGTTTTTTTTTTGTGTGTTCGTTTGACGGGTGTGGCGTGGGCTTTTCCTTTCTTCTATGCTCTCTTTCTGGTTCATAAATAGAAACGAAAGGTATTTATTTTTGGGCCACAGCTAATCATCCATCGGGTGCAAATAAATGAAGGAATGTGACTCAGTTTCTCGATGGATTTTTGTAGCCTCACGCATATGACTGACGGCCCGTCATGGCACTCACATGATCAGGATTTTGCTGCGACACGATCCGCCATCAGAGAGTGCGTAAATGGCAAGGCAATCCAATGGTTTCATATCTATGATAATTTTAGAGTTCACATTCGATTTGGCATGGCTCTAAAAGGTATCCCAAAATCAGATCACAAGATCTTTGTTTCTACATTTTCAATCTATGTTTTACGCAGAGATCCAAGAGATCTTTAAGCTGATCTTTTGCAAAAGATTTACATACAACGGATTAACCAGCGACTAATTAACGTTTTTTCAAGTGTTTTAAGCTGTGAAAATCCATCGATCTCTAGTCTAAAGTCATCTTAAGATCAACTTAAATCCAATTAGTGATCTTTGAAGATCAAATTTTTCACAATACAATTTCAGAAAAAGTTCTAAAACTCTTTGAACAACTCACAACTAAAATCATTTCACAATCTGCCACTTTTAACCCCTTGAAACACCTATCCAAAGACAAAGAAGTCAATGATTCTTCAGTTTTGAACTCTGATCTCATGAAAATTCCTCCTAAAATGTCTGACTCACAGATAAAACCATTTGTTTTTGCTTCGCTTTTAAGACCTCAACAATTCCATGGGCCTCGATCGTTGACGGCATTTCTGTTTATGGCCAAAAAGCCGCAGCCTACCAACCAAAGTCAATGGCCCGTCTATAAACCCCAGCCAGCAAAAAGAGAGAAGAAAAACATTGAATATTACGCATACGACCTGTTTGCCAGAGCAACACCTACTACAACGAAGCGAAGACTATGGAGATACGCGACACGAGTACGAGTACTACACAATCGAACATGTGACACCTTCTCAGAGTCGTTCGATCTGTCGATCGATCCGCTTTAGTTCGCGTTGCCGTATTCCATGGCCCCAGCAATTTCTGATTTCTGGCACGTTCCCCAGGCCCCAAGCCCACAAACCCAAGCTCTTCCCCCCCCGAAAAGAATGCGGCAGCACTCCAGCTCTCAATCTGTAGAGTCACGGGCAGTGTATTGGCCCCAAAACAAAAAGCCAAAAGCAATAACAAAAACATTTATATATCTATGTATAAAACTGCGCAGTGCAAAGTCTGGCAGATATTTCATCATTAGCTTGTTGGCGCTTTTCATTACAGAAGAAACCCCAAAAAAAGCAACAGACAAAACAGAGACAGAGCAACAGCAACAGCAACAGCAACCGAAGAAGCAGCCAAAACAGAATTTAAATAAATTTCGCAATTTCAGCAACACTGAAAGAAAAGTAGGTGCCTAGAGGGAGCGGGGCACCCACAGAAAGAAAGTGTGTTGCCAGAGGGAGGGGTAAACACTACACGTGAAGGGGGGAGGGAAGAGAAGAACCTGCACCAAAGTTCAATAAAACTTGAAAAAGTTTTCCGCTGTTGTTGCCATTGCCCACCCCGCCCCTCTCTAAACACCGATTCCGAACCGCATTTCAACATTCAACATTCTTCTTCCTAGTTTTTCAGATTAAGTCGCAATACCCCCGTTAAAAACTGGAACATAACCAGACACAGCGAGAGAAAGAGAGAGCGGTTGAATAGTGGAGAAGCACTGCCAAAATAGATAATAGCGAATAAAGCAACGGCAGAAAACAGACACGAGAAGTCTGTCAGGGGAATACCCTTACATCGCAGGTGAGTTTTTGATTGAAATTTCAATCAAATTTATTATAAATTTACTTTATCATTATCTACTATTGATTGGCTCATGAGCATAAGCTTTATATATCGATAGATTGTGGTTCTCTATTAATAAGTCTCTTAGCAATTGCCCTCCACATGGAAACCCCCTTCAAAAGAGCATCAAAATATCATCTAATGCTCACAAAACGATCATCTTACCGCCACTCCACACGAGCAATGTGTCAGGGACGTTCTTCAGGGGGTTGGTTGGTGGGAAGCCATCGACTCGAGGCAACTTGAGGTTGTTGTTCTTTGGCGAAGGAACCTGTTCTTGAGTAGGGGTGGGGTGGCTAGGGGAAGACGGGCCAGAAGAATTGGTACCTTCAGGTGCAAAAGAGATGGCAAAACGCTTAGAGCTTTTTATAGTGCTTGAAATGTTAATGAAATTGGCCCAAAATATAAAGAGCGATCATTTTGGGAAGGGGAAAGAAGGGGAAAAGGCAGGGAAGCAGAAGAGAGGGTGTGTAGAGCAGATAGGTAGAGAGGGGAGTCAACCCAGAGAGAGGGTATAAGGTGAGTAGAAAGAGAGGCCTTGTAAGCCAAAGACACTTTTTGTTTCATTCGCGCGACTCACCACTCAAAGTTTTTTTTGTTGATTTTTTTCGGGCATACAAAGAGTGGGAGAGAGAGGGGGGAATAGATACAAAGTGTGTGAGCAGGAGGCGGTGGGCTATTGTTTTGTTTGTTTTTGTTTTTATTGTAGATGTCATTAACCCTCCACATGGCGCTGGGAACCTTACCCAAAATTTCTTGTTGTTCTTCTTGCCGTTGAATTTTCTAGAAATTTTCGCTTTTTTTTCGCACGTTTTTTTTTTGCTTCAGTATTTCATGATTTTTGTTTTGACTTTGGCATTCGCCACGCACTTTGCGAGTGTAAGTGGGAATAACCTCAAAGGGGAGGGGAAGGCAAGGAACACGAAGACTAGGTTCAAGTGCGGTCAAAAATCAAAACGATCGAATGAAGGAAATCAAAGCAAAGACAGAATGAGAATAAATAAAAGGCGAAGCTAGATTTTGGATTAAGGTGAGGCTGTGTCGCTCCACTGGGGTAGCCTCATCCCGCACAGCCTTACCCTACACAGGGAATATACCCTGGAAGAAGACGAAGGCGTGTGCCCAAAATCCACTTCCCACAATGGTGGGGGGCCCACCCGGACCTCTCCCTCTCTCTTGCTCCATCATCCAGGCAAGTCATTAAACTTGGCCAAAACAAATGGCCAACAAAACTGCGGCGAAGGGGAGTGGGATTCGGGACTTGGAACTTGGAATTAATGCATTAACAGATTTGTTATTGGTGAATTCGCTTTAATATTTGATTTATTTGGACATTGCATTTGCATTAAATATAAAAAAGACAGCAATCATGGCGTATACGTAATAAACTTATGCGTTTTCTGTCGGTCTTTTAGCCCATTGTTTTTGGCATTGCAAATGATGTGCTCAAGGAGTGGGGGCAGGAGTGTTCGTTTCCCAGAACTGAGAAAACAAAAGTCATAGCCAGAATCACACGACAATAAAAACGTCACAAGTTTTGCTAATTGCATGATTCGCTTTCTGTTGATCATAGAAATATTGTACAAATTTGCCCAGAGCTTAGTGTACGTCGGTGGGGGACACACCTTTACAAATAGAATCCGCTTCTTATAATCCCATAGATATTTGCTTTTCATTTTGTTTGCAATTTGGTTCCTGGTTCCTGTTGCTGTGTATCTGGAGTCAAGCATAAGCCACCATAAAGTCACATGTTGAATGGCGATTACATTTCTTTAGATGGGGAATATGCTAAGTTTTCATTAACTATTTCTCCTTGATTTCTATCAATTTAGTGCCTTTTAAATATACATTATTGGCGGAGTTATCGTTATGTTATGTTATGAATGTTTTTTGTCCAGACTTTTGCTAGTTTTCCACTTTGTTTACTTACAAACTGAACCTATAGTAATTCTGCTTATCGATTTACTGTTCAGTTCATCGATTATCTTTCGATCAACAATTTATCCATCCATTAGGATATTTAACTTGCAAAATCCGAGTAATTTCCATCTCCTTCAGAGCATTCAAACTGCTGCCTTTAGCTTTGCTTTTGCTTTCTTTTTACCTAGATTTCTACACAGTCCTCTGCTCATGTGTTTTGTTTTTGTTTTTGTTGCTATTTTCTTTATTAAATATTAACTGACACTGTGCCCCAGACAGCAGCTACTCTGGCACTCGCACTCGCATTCGCACAAGTGTGTGGTGCGAACAGCTTGAGAATTTTTCATGTTTTTCCTGGTTTACATATACCCCGGCCCCAGCCCCTAAGTGAACCTCGCGCACACACACCCATTGCTGTCCTCCCCCCCTCGTACTCTTTTTATGAACTTGCTGACGTGCCAGGCAACGATTTTTATTTATATTTTTCCTGGTGCTGGTGCTGTTGCTGTTGCTGGTGTTTTTCTTGTTGTTACTTTATCAAAATGAGGTTAACAAACGTTCCCAAGGCCATTTTACTAAAGAGGGGAGAGCGGGAGTGAGAGACGAGCAATACCCCCACTCGGCATTACACCCGGCATACACACAACACTCACCATTCACTCACACACACATTCGAAAAACACTCACGGAGCGCGAGGCACTACTCGTATGTTGATTCGCACTTGACATTTACTTTGTAGTAAACGTAAAAAACTACAACTACAACTACAAACAAAAACAAAACCAGAAGAAAAGCGAGACTCTAACGGGTTACCGAAGGTTTAGATACTCTTCAAGAGGGTTGTTTTTGATGGTTGAAACTCTTGAGAGTTTTAGTTTGGATTTATTTGGGAATTTATGAAAATATTTTCAATGGAAAACCATCTCTTCACGAAAGATTTGTTCTACTTTCGAGGGAGTTTTATATGTCTCCTTTTGATCTTAATTTCTAATCAAGAATTTATCCTTAAAGGATGGAAAAACGTTTCTCTTCTGCCTTTCCGAAAAGGCAAAAAGGGTATCCAAATAGGTCTAATTTCTTCTACCTCTATCTATTTACACCCCCAACCCAGCACCATACCCTCTCAATCCCCTTTCGTTCTATCTCTTTTCCACTCGTTCTATTTGCCATTATCGTAATTTATTTGTTTTTGCTTCTTTTTTTTCTTTTGGTTTTTTATTGTTAGTTTTATTTTTGTTTTTGCTCGTAAGTTGTAAAAAAAAAGAGGCGCGTGTCTACGAAGGTGAATGGTGGTGGAGGAATAGGAGGGGCGGTGGTGAGGGATGGAAAATGCGCAAAAAGGTGTTTAAAAAACGTGGTAGCCATCAATTGTAGGGGGAGGAGGCATGGATGGGGAGGAGCCGAGGCTTCTGTCGGGGTCTAGGCCAAATGTCGGCGCGTGTAGACTTTTCAAGTACCCAAATGGCGGCGTCTCAAGTGCATAAAAACCACTAACAGCAAAATAGTAGATGGAGTGATAATCAAAGAGAGGCAGAGAGATAATAGAGGAGTAAGGGAGATGGAGCTAGTTACGACATTGCACATGCCACCGCCAAAGCAGCAACAACAAATGTCTCTTTGCTTACTTTATTTGCAATCTATTCCGCGTGAAACGTCACCTCATAGAAAAGGCATAGAGGAGAGACTATAGCCCTAACACGCCTACTATACACGCTTACGATGTAAGGAATTTATTAGGATATTTTTGGTGTTTTTTTGGAAATAATTTCAATTATTTCAGAAGTGTCCTCCGACGCGTTCCAAACGCAGAATAAATCCATGATGAAGTTGCAGATTTATAAAGACTAAATTAGGTTCCGTTTGAAGCCATTTGGAGCCCTAGAAGAGCATGCCGTGGTTCACTTAATCCACATTTAACACTTGTCTTTCTCTCGCTTTCCCCCTTGCGCATTACCATTCATTGCACTGCACTTCTAACTGTTCTTACTCCTACCACACCCTCTTCTTTTTATTCATCATTCCCTAGCTTTTTTTAGTGACATTTTTGTGCATGTTTTATTTGAGGCTCGTAAACATTTTGCGGTTGCTCGTTATTTTCGTTGCAGTAGCAGCAGTCGGTCCACACACAGCAATATATAGAGGGAGTACCATATAGAATGTTAAAAAGAGAGCGAAGCCTCATCACATTTCTGAGTTTCATTTCGATTTCCTTTCGTTTCTTTTTTTGCTGCTACAAAGTGTTGTCAATGACTTTGTTACTGCTGCCTCGTGTCTAACGGTAAATACAAAAAGTAACGGTAGCTTTTTCTGGGCTTTGGGTGGGCGGTGTATTTGTTATCTAATCTTTCATTTGCTTAGCGGAATGGATGGACCTCTGGCTCCTGCACTCCTCCTCTGTCCGCTCTGAAGAGTGTCCGTTGAGTGTCAAACAAAATGTCAGACCAAAAAAAAAACAAGAGCGAAAGAAAAACACGAGGAAAATGAAAAGTGAGCCACGAAAATCCACACACACACACACACTTTGTACAAATCACTTATGACAGTAGTAGGGGAGGTGGAGGTGGGGCAAAACCCCCTTGACAGATTGCACTTGCCCGAAATTGAATCATCAACGGGAATGGGCAGCCGAAAAAAAGAAATACGAGTGACTCAAAGGGTGGAGAGGGATGCTACAGCATCATCTGCAACGCATCTGCCATGCCCTACCTCCACCCTGCATGGGTCCAACTCAAACCATGGGCAGAGCCTCCTCTTCTGATCCACTCTGCACTTGTGGCGCGCGCAGACACATCCTTTCGCCTGTCGCCCCACTCTTGTCATGTGACAGCAATTAACACGAAGAAGACCAGGCTCCCCAAAAAAAAACAGGGGCAAATGGAAGAAGAATGAGCAGAGGAAGATGGAGCAGTTGGAGAGTGCAGGACAAAGATGTGGA